GGGATTTATTTGGGGACTAGATTTACACCTGGGAGGTGGAACCAATATAAAATATTGTGTTTGTGATTGTTATTTTCTGTGATTGTGCTATCTCTTTGCAAATTATAATATTCTTTGTATTAATTTTTAAAAAGAATACTATTCACCCATCGTCTAGTGTTTTAGTGTGATTGGATCAAATCCTACATTTAGTATCAGAGCAAGGTTGAAGAAATGTCATCAACTTCGAATTCAACTTCAAAATTCAAGGAAGGACACTCTATAAATCGTCCACCAATGTTTGATGGATTGAATTATAACTATTGGAAGTGTCAGATGAAAATTTATCTCCAAACAATTGGCTACGAACTTTGGAACGTTGTGGAAACAAAATAAAGCCAACTACTCCTTTCACGGAATGGACTACATCTCAAAGGAACAATGCAAATTTGGATTCTAAAGCAGACTACATCTCAAAGGAACAATGCAAATTTGGATTCTAAAGCAATGAATGCCTTGTTTTGTGCTCTTGACAAGAATGAGTTCAACAATGCAAATTTGGATTCTAAAGCAATGAATGCCTTGTTTTGTGCTCTTGACAAGAATGAGTTCAACAGGATGTCAACGGTCACATCTGCATATGACATTTGGCACACATTTGAGGTAACTCATGAAGGCACAAGTAAGGTTAAAAGAATCTAAAATTTTTGTTCTTGTACACAGGTTCGAATTATTTAGAATGAAGGAAAACGAGACTATTAGAGAGATATTTTAATATTTATAAGGTTTACCGATATCACAAATTCTCTGATCGGTCTTGGAAAAGTATACACTCAAGTGGAGATGGTGCGGAAGATACTTCGTTCTCTTATTCCACAATGGGAAAAGAAAGTTACCGCAATAGAAGAAGCAAATGACTCGTCAATTCTTACGGTATAAAATCTCATTGGAAATCTCATGGCTTATGAAGTCCAAATTAAAGATAAAAAAAATAAGGATGAAACAAAGAACAAGAAAGTGCTTGTATTCAATACTACTTCGGATAAAAAAGATTCGGATGATGATGAAGAAATGAGCATGTTTGCACGCAGATTTAGAAAATTCATAAAACGAGATAAGTTTAAATCAAAGAATTTAAATTCAAATAAGTTACTTTGTTTCAAGTGTAACAAACCAGGACATATGAAGAAAGATTGTCCATTGTTGAAAAATAAGCAAAAATCAAATTACTTCAACAACTTCAACAATATTCAAATCAAACAATTAAAGGAAAGAATTTTCATCAACCAAGGCAAGTATGCTAAAGAATTACTCAAACGTTTTGGAATGAAAAATACAACAAGCAAATCAACACCAATAAGTACAACTACATCACTTGACAAAGATAAAAATGATAAGAATGTTGATGAAAAGCTATATCGAGGTATGATTGGATCACTTCTTTACATTACTACAAGTAGACCTGATATTATGTTTAGTGTATGTTTATGTGCTAGATTTCAGTCTAATCCTAAAGAATCACACCTTAAAGCTGTAAAAAGAATTTTTAGATATCTCAATAACACTATAGATTATGGTTTATTTTATCCTAAGAATAGCACATTTGATTTATTATCATATAGTGATGTTGATTTTGCCGAATATAAATCTAATAGAAAAAGTACAAGTGGTACATGCCATTTTCTTAGACTTTCACTTATATCTTAGTTTAGTAAAAAGCAAAATTCAGTATCATTATCAACTATTGAAGCATAATATATTGCTGCTAGTCTTGCATGTGCTCAAGTTTTATGGATGAAACAAATATTATCTGATTATGGTATAGGTTGTCCCAATCATCCATAATGTGTGACAATACTAGTACCATTAATTTATCTAAAAATCCTATACAACATTCACGTACAAAACATATTGACATAAGACATTATTTTTTACGTGATAATGTACTAAAAGGAGTTATTTCTTTAGATTTTATTTCAACTGATAAACAAATTGCTGATATATTAACAAAACCTTTAAAAGAAAAAATATATGTTAAATTAAGAAGAGAATTAGGTATATGTTCTTTGAAAGATTTAAACTAAGTTTTAAAATCAATATATATGCATATTCAGTCTTAATAGTCGACTAATCAAGTTAATAGTCGACTACATGCACAAGCTTTGCATATAAAACATTTTATTGATTACAGTGTAGTCGACTAATTTGACCTGTAGTCGACCAGTCTGAGTTAAATCTGAAATTTAGAATTCTCTTGATTACAGTATAGTCGACTAATTTTAGCTATAGTCGACTAGTCCGGTTAGATCTGAAATCCAGAATTCTGTCGATTACAGTGTAGTCGACTATTTTTTTAGTAGTCGACTACATGCACAGATTTTTCACTTTTACAGTTTTTGAGCATATTGGATTTTTTACTTATCAAATCCAAAACCCAATACCCATTACATTTAAGTGAACTTCATCTTAACCACTCTTTTAAACCTGATCAATCCTAGCCCTATATCAAATTCTATTTAGATCAAATCTTAACCATACATTTGTTTTTGTTGATCTAATCTTGATCATACATTCTTAAGTTACAAAAACTATCCTAAATCCTAAACTACCCACTCTCATACTCCATAAACCGATCCTTCTTCTTCCCTACTTCAGAACCCATCGAATCCAGGTTAGGGCATCATCAAACTTTCATTTTCTCAAAAAATTTCCATCAAGGTCTTTGTTTTCTTCAGTATTTCAGTTCTTGTAGTCGACTACAACAATTATTGGTCGACTACTATGTGTCTCTAGGGTTCTCAATAGTTTGGTAAGTCCTTCATCTTGATCTTTCCAAGTTCTTGTTTTTTGAATTATCATGTCTAGAGCAAAGAAGGCTAAGCAAGTTCATACAAGTGTTAATGATGAAATCATTGTCTATTTAAAAAATCCTGATTTACTTGAAGAATTTAACAATATATGTACATTTGAAGTTCTTCCAGGACGTTTTGTGAAATTTGATGATTTCATCCCTTGGAACTTCAGTTCATGCTTTAAAAATGTGGGATTGCTTGAATTATTTTCAACGGAAAATAGAAAACCCACATATTTGTTTCTAGTTCAATTGTTCTTTACAAATATAGAACGTGTAGGAACTATAAGTGGAACTGAAAAATTAAAAACTCTTGTGAAAGAAATAGAAATTGAATCGACTTCTAACTCAATTGAAAAAAAATCTTTAACATTTCTTTCATAGGTATTTCACTTAGATCAATCAAAATGAATGATGCAAATTTGCTATCTAATCATATTTTTCTTCCGGGTTATGGTAAACCTTTAAATAATTTAAATAAACTTCATCCAATTCCTCGTTTCATTGCTCAAATCTTAGCCTATAATATGTTTCCAAAAACTGAGAGTTTTCATTTTATTTTCCTAGATTTAGCAAAAGCTTTATATGCTATAATGGGGAATATCCAAGTTAATTGGGCTGAAGTTTATTATGACAATCTCTTGACAATACCAAAAGGATTTCTTCCTTATGGTGCATTTCTAACAAAGGTCTTTGATAAATTTCATGTCGATCTTGAATCAGAAAATTCTGTAGTTCGTTCCATTGAGTTTTTTTCACTCTAATGCCCTAACTAGGATGAAGTTAACTAATTTTGAACTTCATGATCAAAATCCCTAAGATGAGCCTCACCATCCTCAAGATCAAATTCTACATGATATTCCACAATCCTCAAGTCAAGTAGGTTCTTCTTCAAGAAAAGGTCTCTCGATTGTGAGAGGTGTAATCTCTTGGTGAAGAGATTGGGTGCAATTTGCAGAGACTTGCAAATTGGTCAGGTTTGATGTTTTGATTTTGTAAGTTTTTCAAAATCATAGTGGAACTCTCAAGCAAATTGGTCAGGTTTGATGTTTTGATTTTGTAAGTTTTTCAAAATCATAGTGGAACTCTCAAGCGGGATTTGCTTGGGGACTGGATGTATTTGTAAGTTTTTCAAAATCATAGTGGAACTCTCAAGCGGGATTTGCTTGGGGACTGGATGTACACCTGGGAGGTGGAACCCGTATAAAATATTGTGTTTGTGATTGTTATTTTTTGTGATTGTGCTATCTCTTTGCAAATTATAATCTTCTTTGCATTAATTTTTAAAAAGAACACTATTCACCCCCCTCTAGTGTTTTAGTGTGATTGGATCAGATCCTACTGAATGTGCATTCCCTGCAACTTGTAACTTGTGGCCATTTCCATATATGATAGACAAATAGGATTATATACACTATGGTTCTTTTTTTTTGTTTTCTTTTCTGTTTGTTTAATTCTGGTATTGTTGTACTTACGAAAACAATCACATTGAGCGCTAATCATTTATAATCTTTCCTATATGATCTTTCCTATATGTTTAATTTATCAGGATATTTAACATCTATTTGATGGTGTTCATCAACATGTTTTAGAAGTACTGTTCTCTTCCTTTTTCAGTGAATTTAAATTTACATGCAAGAGGAGTAAGCTTCTGATGACCTCTACAGATAGGCTACATTTTATTTGTGGTAAAGGTTATTTACATAGGCCAATTCCAAAAGTTTCACTGATTTTTGAGATAAATACCTGGAGTTTAAATTTTCCAAAACTGTATGGTTCCCAGGTATTTGAGGCCATCATCACTTCTCAGCATGTCGTCTTTAATTTTTTAAATATCTAAGAATGGGATATTTTATTTCTATACATTTTTTTATTTTTTTCCTTCCCTTAATCTTCTCTTTTTGTGTTGACAAAAAGATAATATATTCCTGAAATACGTAATACTTTTTTTTTCACTATCATGTTTGCACATTCAAGTGATTGAGGTTGTGGTGGCATCTCAATCACAAATTTCAGTTTAAAAGTACACATGCTTTGTCATGAATGAAGTGTAAAGACTTATCAAGGGAAGAATTTTGAGTTTAATTTCCCTCACACTGAACTTGAATGAACTACTAAGTAAGGATTACATTGACATATTATCAATTACTGTGTACTATTTTAATTGCAGGCCTTTTTCTTTGAAGTCGTGAAGAGCTCAATCAAGGTAAAATACTAACTTCTAACGTCGACGTCATTGCTTTCTGTTACATGCATCCGTAATAATAGATAACAGATGCTGGAAGTACGAGCTTTGCATCAATAGGAATATATTGGGAATAGAGAGAGATTATGGAGTTCTGGGTTTTTTGATAAAAGGAGATTCTGACATTCAATGTGGAATTCTATCCTGCTACTTGGATAAATTTATTCAACATTGATTTTCAATTTATCTATAGCTATGGAGCTTTTTCGAGGATATGAGCAATGGAGCTTGTGGAGCACCATTCACATCAAGGGTTACCCTCGTGGTTCGCTTCATTGTTTTGAAATTTTTTCCTTTTACCAACATTATTGCTATGCCAGGCCTATATTCTTCCGAAATTGTTCATCAGCAGGTCATATCTTTGGTTTTATTATATGAGTTTCCGTTTCTATCATGCCCCATTTTCTATACAGGATATACTCTTTCAGCTAGTCATGAGCGGTCGTGTAAACTGTATGATATATGTAGGAAACCTTCCTCTAGATATACGTGAATCGGAAGTGGAAGATCTGTTTTACAAGGTTTGTACTGATTACTTTCTCAAAGCTTAATTTTTCAGTTTCCTATTGACAATTATCGGTATCACGTTTTTAAGACCGATGTAGCTATTCAATTCTAATTTAGATATTGGTTAATATATATTCTTTTTTGGGCTTTTGATTGCTACATTTTAGCTTGCTTTCAGTTTTCATAAAGTCGTCAGTAGTTATTGTGAGTTGGGCTAATAGTTGGGCTAACTTGGTTTACATACAAATGCTGCTGACTATTTAGATGTCTGCATTTATCAACCTCTCAATTTCTCGTACTTCCCCTCATTATTCTTCAATTTGCTTGTCATACTCAGACAGGTAAGTAGTGGAAGGTAGAAACTCTTGAACAGAAGGATAAAAACTCAGTTTCAGTTTAGTTCATTGATCTTATTCTCTCCAAAACTTCGTTTCAGCTTCGGTCCACTGACCCTCTTCTCTACAACCTAACCCCCTCTTCTTTACCTCCTCTTATCCGTCATCTGTAAATAACACTATGCTTACCAATGTTGCATAATGCCTCGAAGTCTCCCAAAAAAATCGCTATGTTTACCACTGTGTCCATTGGCCCTCTTCTGGCGCTGCCTCTTCCGGCATGCAACCACCAAGCACCTAGGCTCTTTTTTTTTTAAATTTTGTTATACAACTTTAAATGAGGGAAGGGGAAAAAGGCTGATTTGATAACTAATAACAAACAATTTATATTAACAAAAAAGAAAAAAATCCAAAAAACTACGATATTTTCTATGCTTTTTTGAGCTTTTTAGATTTTTGATTGACAAAGAAAATTTGAGGGATCACTGGTGGCAAGAGTTGAGGATAATCGGAGGCATGGGAAGCAAGGGTTTTTTCCGCTTAGAGAAGACAGGAAGCAGTACTTTTTAGGCGGTGGAGGACTTCTAAGGGATTTTTTCGCAAAGAGAGAAATTGGGTTTCCACTCTAGTGTGTTTTTTACTTTACTTGTTGTTTAACGTGTTGAGCAGCCGCTTAAGCAAATTTTTTTATTTATTTACTGGTGGCTTCCTATGTTACAGCAAGTTTTTTAATTTTGAGCTTGGCCTTCCGAACGTTGATTCTTTCCCAATTAGTCCTAGGAGTAAGATTGTCCCATCCCATGATTTCAAGCTAAATGTCAAAGATACTACTAATGCGAGGTTTTCCACAGTAAATCTTATACTTACATTATAGCAAAGGTTTTCTTATGCTGCAGATGCACACAGTCTGCATGAACGTATTACACAAATAAACTTGCCTAAGAAAAAATGATGACTCATTGGTTTACTTATTAAAAATGCTGTGGTATGTGCAGTAAAATGACCTTTTTGCTATTCTTTCACAATACTTGAAGCACTAACATAAGAGAGATATATATGCATGTATGTATGCATGGATGCATGTATTCATGTATGTATTTATGGATGCATGTAGGCATGTACGTATGTATGCAGGCATGTATGCTTGCATGCATTCAGTACAATGAACCTGCTAATATCAACAATAAGGTATTTTTGCATGTCTAACCAAGTTTACATACACAGAAGATTGCCTACTTGACATTCACAAACTATTTTTTATAAGAAAATCTGATGTGATTATCGTATGCTGGAAAAAGATATCCTGAAGGTAGCCTGTGTCTGATCTTGCATAATTAGTTCCTAGTCACTTATATTTTTCTATTTTAATCATTCTAATCCTTGTAGTTGAAAATGGAACGCTGTTGTCTTTTCTATAGGTTATATATAACAGCCATTTGAAGCTTAATTTTTCTGTTTGCAGTATGGTCGCATAGTAGACATTGAATTGAAGAATCCACCTCGCCCCCCTGGTTATTGTTTTGTGGAGGTAGGGATTCATAATAATTTCTTGAAACTAAATGATTCTGATCTATGTTACTTACTCATTTGGTGGTTGTGCAGTTTGAAAGTGCTCGAGATGCTGATGATGCTGTCAGGGGTCGTGATGGCTATAACTTTGATGGATACCGTTTGAGGGTATACTAAAAAAATTCTTTCCTATGTTTGCTCAAACCCTCATCTAATTTGGAGGCAAATGGTTCTGTAGGTTGAGCTGGCTCATGGAGGCAGGGGACATTCATCTTCATTTGGACGGGGTAGCAGTTATGGAAGTGGCGGAGGCAGAAAATATGGAATTTCCCGCCGTTCGGAATATCGAGGTTCTTTCCAGAAATATATCTAAATGATTGTGCTTGTATATATGCATAGATATCTTAGCTGTTTTGCTACTTCCTTTTCTTACAGTGTACCTTAAAACCTTAACCCACATTGTTTTTGCAGTTGTTGTTCATGGACTACCACCTACAGCTTCATGGCAAGATCTAAAGGTGTACAATCATCTATTATCTGAGAAAATCCTTATTCTGTAAGCTAGCATTTTTTCCTAAACCTGATATCTTACAGGATCATATGAGAAAGGCTGGGGATGTTTGCTTTGCTCAAGTTTTCCGTGATGGGGATGGTAGGATCTTTACATTTCCAACTTCATAATATTTTTTTTGTTAACTTGCTTTGTAGGCCCAGTTAGAAGATTGAATAAGGTGAACATCCATAGGTGGCAGATTCCAACTGCAACTTATTTTAGCTGTATATCATAGACCTCGCATTGGAACAAATTCATGAATCATTATAGAAAATATCAATGCTAAACCTGCGGCTCAGCAATGATTGTGGTTCTACTCCTTTAATAAATTTTGTACTTAAAATTTAGGAGAGATTGAACATGCAATTAGATTTTACAGCAAGGCCTGATAGGTTAGCAGCTGCTTGATCCATATGCTTAATCTACTTGGTATTTCGCTAAGGTAACATGAGATTCCAGTTTTAGAATTAACAATTGAACTACTGATTCAAGTATAAGACACATAAACCAAAAACCAACAATGGTGCAGAAATTTCCATTGGTTGAGGTCCTTTGCAAAGAAAAGGTGCATTTGAAGAACTTACAAATATGCATCTAAATAAACTGACCAACACGCATCTTGTTCTTTATGGAATAATCAGTCTACTTCAATGGGGTTTTCAATGCACTGGTCTGATCAGAGGCATTTTGTTTTTCCTGGACATAATTCTTATTATACTATATATGTAACTTCAGGAAGCATGGGTTTGGTTGACTACACCAACTACGAGGACATGAGATACGCCGTAAGTGCCCATTTACTATTTCTCTTATATATTATTTTGGTTTTCATTTCTGGTAGCTAATCTTCTCTTTTTTTAATAGATTCGGAAACTTGATGACACTGAATTCAAAAACCCCTTTGCAAGGTCTTATATTCGGGTATTCTCCGTAGCACGTTGGGCTCATAGGTTTCATGTTTGGTATGTGTCACCGGTCTTTTAGGTTGGACTGCATGAATGTAGTTTTTTCATGATATCGTAAATACTCCAGTCAAAATTTATAAATAAAAGAATGTTAATTCATTCTCTTTATAATAGATTCATTTTAATCCTTAATAAAATCTGGTACATATGAACGAATGCCTTTATGAGTCTTATAATTTGGAATAATAGCTATCAGCATCCTATATGAAATTTATTTTAGTTTTGTGCAAGATGCATTCTTTCTTTATGGATGTGCTTTGGATGCATTTCGAGTAAATTGACCAACATTCTTTGTTACAATTTCTCAGCCTTTCTTATCTTAATAAATTGCTTTGGCTATAGGTTAAGATGTATGAGGGAAGTCCACCTCGTAGCCGGAGCAGGAGTTACAGCAGAAGTAGAAGTCCCAGACGGAACCTAAGGTGATTTTTTCTTGGTCTTGCATTCCTATCCTTCTTTATACAGAATGATTCATTTCTGAATATTATGCTTTCCAACAAATCAAGTGATAGGTCTACTTTGTCAAGGTCTAGGTCTGTCTCTCCTGCCTGATCGAGGTACTTTCTGCACATAACTTGTTTGTGTGTGCGCCTATACATGTATTATAAATATACATAACTGTATGTATGTGTATTTATTGGTGGAAATTAGGTCTTTATGTTTGGATCCATCTTCAGGAGTTTGTTTGTTGATGTGCGTATTAATCAGTAGCAATTCTCTCTCTATCTCTGTCTCTCTCTATATATGTTTGTGTGTTTCTTTATATGTCAAGTTATTGCATATTTGTTCTGTGTTCTAAAATTCAGAGGGTAATGTTTATTTTGATTAGGCTTCAATTAATCTGATTATGCCGAATCGTGTGAAAATGATTGCATTTACATACTCAAGGAAGTGCTTTTACAACACGTAATAAGGTTTGTGACAAGTACATAATAGCACATGTTTTGACTTACACGCCTAAATTAGCAGAAAGTGAGAGATTGAAAGTTTCATATAATAAAGTTTTACGATTCACGTAATAAATTTTGTAACATCTATATGGTAGGCCATTTATGGATGATCCGCATGTTTTGACTTATATACCTTAATTAGCAGAAAGTGAGATATTGAAATTTGTGAGGCTTATAATCAAAACATTAAAAAATTTCCAAGCCTAGAGAATGTATTTTGTTTCAAGAGCTTCCTTTTTAGGAAGTAGACCTTGACCTTATAACAATGTTTTGTCTTTTTGAGCAAGCACTTGATGCACAAACAAACAACTTTGAAATGATTTGATCTCTCATTCTTTATGTTCTTACTCTAGTTTTGATCTGTAGATATAGATGAATCATGCAAATGGGACATCTGTGGGATGGCTCATGGTGAAGTTCTTATGAAGCTTGTTTAGAAACTGGTCTCATAAAAGCAACTCCCAGTAGATAGACATAATTACGTCCATAGAGCTGAAAATTCCCAACAAGGAAAATGAATATGAGAATCAAATACCGTTAACTTATGACAGATGCTGCTTTTTAGTACCGGAAACCATAACAAAAGCTAGAAACTCTTTTCTCTATCTTATTAGAAGCAAGTATCTGAGAAAGTTAGAAAAACATGTGGGAGGAAACCTACTTTTTCTTAAAGAGGCTCTTGCTTGCCACCAAAATGAACTTAGTATTAAGTAATGCTAGTGAAGACTTAGACGAGCATATTTGTTTAACTTCCTACGGGAAATAAAGAAGAGGAATAATGAGAGAAAGTTGTAGTATTAATTGACATAAATCACTAGTGTCAAGTGTCCTAAATTCAAATACTAAACATTAAAAAGACACTGGGACATAACCTATGGGAAATAAAGAAAGGGAATAACGAGAGAAACGAACGGTATAAAAAAGCATCGTTATCAACTGTTCTAAAGTTCGACGCTAGGACTTTAAAAAGACACGGGGACATGAATTTCAGCACATCCATTGGTGAAACCTGAAAGTCGAGTCACCATGCTTTCTTTTAAGTGAACCTTGAAAAATCTTGGAAATGTGCTCTCCTATTGCCTGTGAGTTCTCATTGAAAAGGAAAATCAGAAATCTCAATGTAGTTATGGGATTTCCATTAAAAAAACTCTACAAATCTTTAAATTAAATGTATATATTTATTACCAACTCCACAAATTATTTCTAAAATTATCTGAAGGTTGCTATAGAAAGCTCTTATTTTTCTTGATAATGTGCCAAAATTTCTTTACTAAACTTCAGTTTTAATCTATGAACTAGAATTCAATTAGAATTATCATTCCAATTATAAGTAACTATTACATTTATTAAGGAGATCCGTATTCGATCAGTATAGGGTAATTAATTATGACCCTTTATTTGTTTGTGAACTGCACTTGAATCCTTTTAGAAGTTTAGAACTCAAAAGTAAAAAATTTTCGCCTATTATAACATGTAAAATTGAAATGCAAATATATAATAGTTCATTATTTTAAGAAAAATGTAAAGGTTTAGTTGATTTAATTAATAATTTTTAATTAATACTGAGCTAATTATCATTAAATAAATCTAGGATTCTAATTTGATCAAGAGACTTAAGGTCTCATGGAAATATAAGCATAATTTTAGATACTCAAATTCTTGTAATCCCCTCATTCCAAAATTAATGTCAAAATAAATGCTAAATCTTTTCCTAATAAATTACAGTTTGTAGATATTCAAATCTTCTCAAACTCTTTAAATCCTAGTAAGACTAGTAGAGGGTGGCCCAGTGCACGAGGCTCCCACCATTGTGAGCTTTGGGGAGGGTCATATGTATGTAGCCTTACTCTCGCTTTGCGGAGAGACTATTTCCTAGATTCGAACCCATGATTTCCAAGTCACAATGCAGCAACCTTTACCGTTGTGTCAAGGCTTAACCTTGTAAGTTAAATCGTAGTAAGACTTGTGTTCAACCAAATAATCTCATGTAAGTTAACTCTTGTCATTAGTTTGATAAATCCCTCAGGAGACAATGAACAAAGATGAAGAAAGTTAACCCCTATTTCCAGGAAACATGTTCAAGTAGTGAGATAAATTCAAATCTAGCCAACTCACTAGATCAAGTAATTTGAGTAGATACTTGTTTAGCTTGTAATAGTTAGCAACTTTAGAATAAAATTTATTACAACTTAATTTCAAGTATATGTTACATATTAATTAGCTTTATCGATATTCGTTACATAATACCATGGGCCTCTATATACACACTGGTATATATATGTACTCACGTGCATACATATACATTTATTTTCATGCATGCGTGTGTATATATAGATCCATATACACATATCCACACTCCTATACATGTATATACATGTAAATATATGTTTATATATGTATATACATATACACGTGCGCGCGCATGTAATATATATAGAGAATACTGGGTATGAATTGGCAACACTATATATATATATATAGAGAGAGAGAGAGAGAGGAAAACTTATGTCAACTTAATTGGACGTCCACTAAATTTCTTAGTCATTGATGATCACTTGATTGAGCGACATTGTGGATGATCCGCTTCATTGAACTTGATCTACATATTCTAAAACCCTAAAACCCCAACACAACAAATTTGGGGTGAATCCGTTGTGGTTTGACCCTCCGTTGAGCCATGTAAAAAGTTATATTCATTCGAAACCGTTAAAATTAATACGAGTGGATGAATGGTCAAACCACGATGAGTTCACCCCAAATTTGATGTGTTGGGGTTTTAGAATATGTAGATCAAGTTCAACGGAGCGGATCATCCACAATGTAGCTCAATCAAGTGATCATTAATGACTAAGAAACTTAGTGGACGTCCACTTAAGTTGACACTAAGTTTTTCTCATATATATATATATATAATATATATATATATATATATATTATATATATAATATATATATATATATATATAATATATGGTAAAAACTTGTGTCACTTAAGTGGATATGGAATAGTGTGTCCACCAAAATTTTAACCACTATCATATTCCTAGGGATCCATGTATTAATGAAAATGTGTTTAATATTAATAAATGTGTGGCTACAAACTTTGGTGGATATCAACTTAAGTTGATAAGGAGTCTTGCTCTCTCTCTTCTCTCTCTCTCTCTCTATAATATATATAAATATATATATATATATATATATATATATATATATATATATATATATATATAGAGATAGAGAGAGAGAGATTAATGGTATCATTGACAAGAGAGGATTTTCCTATATATATATAATATATTATAGAGAGAGAGAGAGAAGATTAATGAGTATCATTGACAATGAGGGGATTTTCCTCCTTGACAATTGATGTGGCACAATCCCCATCATGTGAAGGAGAGAGAATCAAAGTAGGAGAGAGAATTTCACATGGTGGGGATGTGACCATAATCATTGTCAAGAGGGAATCCCCTTTGTCAGAATACCCATTAATCTCATATTATATATATATATATCATATAATATATAATATATATATATATATATATAATATATATATATTATATATATATATGAAGAAATATGGGTATCGCTTGGTACCAAAGCAAAAAAAGTTGTGGGTTGGTAGTGAGGTGTCAAATCCCCTCGATCCTCATTCAAATGTGGGAACAAATTCACCGATGGGTAGATGAGTGGATGGGGATGTGACACATCACTACGAAGCACAAATTTGTGCTTGGGTACGCAAGCATACGATATTTCTCTCATCTCATCTCTCTTCTCTCTCTCTCTATATATATATATATACATATATTATATATATAATATATAATATATATATATTATATAGTTATGCATGTACGTGTACAGTATGTTATCTATGTATGTATATATGTACATTTTATGTATGATAGATTTAAGTATACGTATATATGCATATATCTCGCGCACACGTACACATGCAGACATGCACAATTATGCTGTTTTCCAAGTGACCTCTTATTTGTACCTTAACAATACATTATGAATTATTGAAATTGATCCGTTAAGTACATGGATATTTGGAAATAAATAGGTTTTTTGTTTCGATTTTGTATACAGATCAACATCTAGGTGAATGTCCGGCTGACTACAACAGGTAATTCTTTTCCTTATTAGTACGCTGTCTTTAATAAGAGTCTTGTTCACAATGAAATGCTACATGTACTAAGAGGACCCTAGCTGTGGAGATTATCATTTTTTTTGTTATTTCTAAAAAGACAAGCAGTGTGGATGATTCAAGAAATGATTTGATATATGAGTAGTATAAACTATCTTAGGTTTGTTAAGGTACATAATAAAAACTGTGTGATGAAGCATATTCACCGGTACTTGCTGAATTGATTTACAAGTTTCTGCTTGCTGTTTTTCCCCTTTCTTTTGGGGAAAACGTGTAGAAGAACATTATTTCATTGTGAGGTTTGGATTCGATAATTCTAAACATATTATGTTTAAGAAACATTAGACTAGATATTAGCGCGAATGCTAAAGCATTGACTGCATAATGTCATAAAGTTGTACATATTCCTGTGCCTGCATTTATGTCTGATCCTCTGCTGAAGTTTCATTACAACAATGAATCAGTAAGGGCCTGTTTGTTTCACCAATTTTATGGAATAGGAATGGTATTTGGTCCTGACAATGGCGTTTTCGTAATTAATAGATTCCAAATGAATCCTAATCCTGAGTTTGGTTCAAAAAAAATTTATAGAATTGCTAATCTATAAAGTGGCTCAAACAGTGTATATTTCAGGAAATCCAAATCCAGTCCATTTGCTAGGAATTGGGTGGAATTTCTGACACCTCTCCTCTTTTTTATTCTGATTCCTAATCCTATTCCTAATCTTTTGGGTGAAACAAACATAGAATACAAAAAAAATGGGATTCTATAAAACTAAAACTTGTCTATAAACTTTTTATGGATTAGGTTGGAATCCATAAATAAAATAGGATTCCTAATCCTATTCCTACCCTCTATTGAACCAAATAGGCCCTAAGAGTTCTTCACTATGTTAAAAGTAAAAGAGGATTAGGTTGCGGACTCATATCTCTTCATCCTGTAGAGATAAAGATTCCATGATCCAGAATAAATGGGATAGATTGTGAAGGGAATCAGAATTTTTTTAATGAAAACTGCCATGGATCGTTATTAAATAAAGAATTTCTGACATGGATCATTTGGAGAAGTGGGAACACCCAACACTACAACAAAATATTTGGAAGAGTTGTTTAAAGTTAAGAGGAAGCCTTCATTATAAGATGAGGAAGAGAAGGAAAATTTAGGAGATGAATGACTTAATGCACTTTCCAAAGGACCAGCGGGGTGTGCCTCCTGTCAGATTGTTTGAAGTATATTTCCAAGGGATATAGGGCGATGCTACTGTCCTGCCTCTGAGAAGCTGGTGTTTGAGATGAATTATAGCGGGGCTTCCATGCAAATACAAATGATGAAACAAATCAAATGGTTCAATTAATTTCACAGTTAAATATAGCTCTACTCCAATGAAGATACTGAATATTCCTTAATATCTGAGGTTCAAAATTCAGATGCTTTATTTTCACCAATTGAAGGGCTACTTGATGCTGCTACCCTCCACTGAAAGGAGCAACCATTATATCTGACTTATGGCTTCATATTCTAGTGAAAAGTTAGAAAGGAAGGTTCCCTTTTGATCTAAAGGATACTAGACGGAGGGAAAAGTAGAGAATTCAAGCTCTATTTTGATGACTTCTTTGCAGTATTCACAACTGCTAAAAGTCAGGTTGATTTCAATTCCAGAATAAGACTCAACATGATGACACTCGGTTGAGCATGGAGAACCTTGAGAGAATGGGACACATTAGTCATCATATTATTAGTACTACATGACAGAGGAGGAATGTTTTACTACTCAGGTGCATTTTGTGTAAACCATATCAACAAAAAATTAGAACAATGCTAGCAAATAGGTACCAATATTTTATGAGTACCTTACAGGAAAACTGAAGACATTAATAATGAAAGCTCATAAGGGTAATCACCTATAGAATTTTCAGATCTGGCAACAACTGCCACGTCAGATCCACCACTCCTGGTACTTGATTGGGTGCATAGGGGTTAATGGGTGTTCCATCATGATAGTTCTCTTCGTTAATGCTGTAAAAATAAACTGCATTGGTTATCACCAATCAGCATACCTCTAGCTCCATTGTCCATTCAGACAAAATCTCACATACAACTTCCAAGCGCAAGTCGTTCACTGATAGAGAAAGATTTCAACTCTGAAATCTAAAACTGTGCAATGATAAAGAGAGAAGGCATACAGTTTGTAGAAGAGCAACCACCCACCTATTATAGAAGTAACCCATGCAAAAGAATTTTCTTGCAATGTCACATAAGGTTTAACAAAATAAACGTAAAAGAGGACATTATATATGGGTTCATAATTTAGATTAAGTTAACAACACTGAGTAACAAAGTAAACACAAAAAGAAAAGCATATTAAGAGTGGAAGTTGTTATACATGGTTTAAGCCTAACTATATAAAGTTAAGCTTCAAATTGTGCCAATTTGACCAGTTGCAGTGGCTGATGAACATGTCCGATGCAGTAGATCCTGCAGTGATCTCAGCCTGCCCCACAAATCAGAACTCAGTTCTAAACCCACTGCAATGGGTATGTTCCAAACCTTGCTCTAAGTTTCATACAAACACCAATACTTCTAATATCAGCATCACCCCACTCCTCCATTTAAGCTTCATGTCTCTTCACTGTGACTGTGAGCAGCTTTTACCTTTGCCATTTAATCAGTATCATCTTCTTTCATGGCCTCTGTGGTTTCGCTTCCCCTTTCCTTTTCGGTGTCCTGCATACTTGAAAAATTAAGGAATTACATATACTCTGTTATTCTGCAAAGGTAGATTGATGATCTATTTTTAACTGTTCAATTCCTATGCCAGATCCTACTCCAAAGCAAGAACGGGGAGTGAAATGATGCAAAAGGGTACAACTGGAGCTCTAAAAATAAGAAGTTTCCCTATAATCGTCATAAAAACTACAAGAAAGGTCAATGAATTCGCACTAAATAAAATAAAAAGCATGAAATGTGTAGATGGCATTATGTATTTTAGGTTAGTGGCTGTATTCTTGAATGATACTTTGAAGTTTTGTTCTTCAGCTTCAAATCTTCCTCTTTGATTGTTAACCTTTCAAGATGGATTTTATTACGAGATACGGAGCTTAATTCTTTATGTCCTAGTTTCTCTCCTAAACAAATATCAATCACTCACTCTCTCCCTCAACCTCTTTGCTGATCATAACCTCCCTCACTCCAATCCCATCATAATGGGGATCAAGATAATAATTATGATTAGTTTCGATTTAGTTTTTGGTTAGTTTTTGAATTCAGTTTTAAATCTTATAAGATAAGAGTTCTTTTAGATTTTGAAGTGTAGTAGGATAAGATTTGTGACTCTATATATATGGGTTGAACTTTTCATTGTTTTTCAGAGATTGAGATGAATAAAAATTGAGATTTTGACTAAGTATTGGAGTGATACCAGAGAGTAGGTGCTGCGAGTAATTCCGGCCTATTCTAAGGTTTATTTTCTTTATTTTTCGTGTGACTAATCTCAGCCATTCATTTAATCTCAAAATCCATTTGTCAGTTATTCTCCCTCATTCCAGCCCCCTGCCAAATCATCTGAAACCTCAGGTAACACCAGAAAACTCTCACCTCCGCTTCTCTACTTCACACAAGAACTAGAACCTGAAACTTCTTTGACTTCATCTTCTTCGAGCAGTGAATACAATCAGCCACGCCCTCATCCAGACACCCTAATCTTCAACCTGCAATGTTCCTGCGCCCTCGACAGTGACCTCAACTACAACTTTCAGCGACACATTTCGCTGCAGGTTTTCAACAGCCCCTTTCTCGAACATTGCTGCCTCGGTTTTCGACTATGGACCAGCAAAGCTTCAAATCAGAATCAACACAGACATGTCAAAGTTAATAAACTATAGGTTTTTGTTTGGTAACAATTCGAAATTCAAGTATCTTTTGATTAGTTTGATTCGTTGGTGTTCAATTCAGGAAGTCATTGCTCTTTAAAGTTTGCAAATTGTCCGAGAATTATTTCACTTCTTAGGTTTAATTCGAACTTATCTTTTCATAGTTATAGTTACTATTAAACGTGTAGTTTTATTTATTATTGATTTATATTTTTCTTATTTATAGTTTAATTCCGCTGATCATTTGTGTTAATTTTACATGCATATCGCATTGAGTTTGTTAGATTACTTGTTTAGTAAAGCCCTATAGATTGTCCTGCGTCTCATCACCTTCCCTTTTTTTATTAGCCTCAAAATGGCTGAAATGCTTAACACACCCTCCCTCGCCCATTATCATGTTTCCAATCCCATGGGGCACACCCTCCCTCATCTCCCTCACTTTCCTCACCCACTCCCTTTTTTCAATCTCATCACAGTCTCCTTTTTGTCCTTAGATGGCTGACTATTTGGTGAGAAATGAGAATCGAATCTTGAAATTAAATGAATAGTGGAAGCTGAAATTTGGACCAATATTTTCCGGAAATGCCTCAACACAAAGCATAGCAATTAAGTTAGAAACTGTGAAATAAGGTAATAGGTTAGGGTAGAAAAGGAAAACCAAAGAAATTTCTCCTCCAGCTTTTAGGAAATGTGTTATTATGCTCATCAATCTTGCTGTCATGTTTATGAATAAATTAAGAAACAAACTGTAGTACATAACTTCATGGGCAGTACATTTCAGGAACCAAACTGGAATTATAGATTGTCTTTGAAACAAACTATAGTACATTTCAGGAACCAAACTGGAATTATAGATTGTCTTTGAAACAAAAAGAAGAATATAAATGCATAACTATTTAGACGAAAATGAAAATGGAGAAGTTACTGTAGTACTTTCTGTACACATCGTTTAACAGTAAAGAAGAGTATTCAAGTTTCTTTGACTGTGGAATATAATGGCCTAATTCAATTAAGTAGGTTTAATTGCACATGGGCCCCTGATCATATTGCTCCATGGAACTTATTATCCCTGTCGTTTTGACCTGGGTGAAAATTTTTTTTGGACTCCTTTATATTGGATGAAAAGTTTTGCGGATATTTTCCCTCAGTGAATTACGGAGGCTATCTGAGGGTAATATAGTCAAAAATTCATCCAGGTCTACATGGGTAGTAGTAAGTCATACTACTTTTGTATTACTACATACAAAAAAGTGAGACCTTTTCTTGTAAATTGCAAAGAGTTTCTATGGACCCCACTTGTTTGTAGCAGTATAACTCTTCTAGTATAGTTACAAGATGCAATATTATTAAGGGGGTTTGGGAGGGTTTTGTGCAATTAACCATTCAGAAAAACCTCTATCCCATCATACATATCAAGCATTACTTTCCATTACAATAAGGGAATTGTTGTCAAAACAAATAGAAATTTTCTACTCAGAAATGGGCTTGTGATGTTATCCTTCTTTTATTATTTGAAATTTAGAAAAATAACATAGATAAGTTTCCAGAAAATATTTACTTGATTTTTTCCCAATACAATCTATTTTATACCACTATTTTGATCAACATGAAAGTTCTATGTTATTGTTCTTCACGAGTGTCCCAAGGCTCTAATAATGTTGACCCATTTTGTTATTATGATGTTACTTTTTTTATGCAGGTGGGTCTTCAGGGTATAATTACTCTCCTGTGGCCGTCAGCTAATTTATGATATATGAACAATCACCATATGTGCTTGCGATTACTGTGCATATAGAATGATTGGTTTATACTGCTGGTTTGTGCTTGGAATTCTGTCTGTATGGACATTTAGTATTTGGATGCTGCTACTGCTGATTGCTCTTGCTAATTGACATTTAAAACCTTTTATTGTGTATATGAACAATCTTTGCATGCTACTTTGGACAAAGTTGACCGGGGAAAAGAAAATGGCTGGATCACTGAGCAGGGTGTATGTAGAAACTAGCAGTGGTATCATGCGCTGCTACCTTTCTAAATTTGATTTGTTAGGTTTGGTCTTTCATTTGTGCGGGACGGATATTTCGTTTCTATTTATGTGCTACTTGATGATTTCCCGTTATTGTGCGCAACTGATTAACAGCTCTTGTAGTTATTCTGTGGTCAGTTTACAAGTAGGGTTGATGACGGACTTCGTTCGTGCCCTCCCCTGCATTTTAAATGAAAAACGAGAATTGAAGGAGACGGGAGGAAATGAAGACCATCTAAGAGGTTAGGAGATACGAAGATGGAGAGGGGAGGCATGATTTGCGAGATTGAAGTATTTGGAACTTCGAGAAGTCATGCCTTTTGAAAATCAAGTCTCACATCGGGACAGTTTCATGTTACAAACATTAATACCATTTTCTCTCTGTCTTCGCTCCGCTACCGGATAAAAGCAGCAAACGTTGTGGATGTCATAATGGATTTAGAGAACAAATTTATACAAAAAAAAAAAAAAAAAAATTTGAGTGTGTTTGAAACACTCGAGATTTGATTGAATTTCATTCAGATGGGGAAGAAACTCAGTGACCTGTAGAGTTGTCGTTTAAGAAATTTTTTTAAAAGGCTTAACAAGGCTTAATTACATTGAAGTAGTACCTTGAAGATCAATGACGTCCAGGTACCTTGAGATGTAATTACATGATTAATTCAATAATTTGGTTGTATCGAACGAGTAGATTACTATCTGTAACAGTGACCCTGCAGACTTTTTATTTTTCTTTTCTTTTCAGAATTATTCATGTAGATACAGTCAATAACCTCAGGATTGTCCATATAGATATATGGACTCTTAAGGTCACTCATTGAATTATATCATATCTATTTTTCTATGCGACTCTTGAGGTGCCTTAATGTAATTAATCATGTCTGGAAATATTTGTTTTTCATCTTGGGACGAAGGGGTAATGTAACTGCTGGACTTTTGGTCACTGTTATTGTGAGACTTGTTCTAATTCAGTTTATTGTTTGTTTTTACATGGACTAATATTCGAACTAAATTAAAAATTCAAACTTAGTGTTTGTTTTTGGAGGGCCTAAGACCATTTAAACTAATATCATAATCAGAACCATCCTTTTGTTCCCTCAAGTCAACTTATATAAATCGTATTAATGCGGAAAACCCACCTCAATATCAATGGAGGGCCCACCATTCACTTCGTCCATCTCCTCCACCGTACCATCGAGCACCTGTCCTCAAATAGCAATTTTTTCTTTGGAAAAATGTGTCTATGCCCCAAAAGTGGGAACTTCGTGTGACTAGCCTCTTTGTATTTTGTCTCATGTGGAATAGCCCCAAAAAGTAAGATGTAATGTTTTAAGCCCCCTCCACGTCAGCATTATACTAAAAGCAAAATGTATTTAAAAAAAAAACCAAAATTGTCTTCTCTTTCTTCCCCAGACGAGGCCTAGTCCCGAACAACAGTAGTCACTTCTCATTAATGCGATATGATGGAAAAATGGATGAAAATTTTCCCCTTTTTTTACTCTATCATGAGCAATAACTATTTAGTTCTTCATTACTCCTCCTCAGACTAAAATTCTCTCCATTACTCTCTCCATTACTCTTACATTCCCTTCAAAATGGCTGAAAAGGACATCATCTGTATTGTCTCTTCGCGGTATAAAGCGGTATTCTTGAAGATTAATTCTTCAAGTTTGATGTGGCAGAGAGGTTAGATCTTCCATATGAGTCATTAATTTTAGCATACGAAGATGAAACTCAAGTTTGATGTGGCAGAGAGGTTAGATCTTCCATATGAGTCATTAATTTTAGCATACGAAGATGAAACAGTTGGAAGCTTAAAATTTTCCATATGAGTCATTAATTTTAGCATACGAAGATGAAACAGTTGGAAGCTTAAAATTTTCCATTGAGAACGAGGGAGATCTGACGTCTATGGTGGAGCATTGCCACAATCATGGACTGAAAGAGGTTCATATGCAAGCTTTTAAAGAAGCAGATGATTCTTCGAATAAACAAGAAAACGAGCAAGTCCGACAAGACATGTAGGTTAACTGTATAATCAATTAACTTTAGTTCTAATCGTCTTCTTGTTAGATCTATGCTAGGTTTAACTGGATTTCAGTTCTAATTGATCTTATGTTAGTTGTAATCTTGGTTCTGTTAGTTCTAATTGATTTATCGTTAAGCAGTTCTTTGTTATGCTTCATACGTTAGTTCTAATGGTTTCTTTGTTAGTTCTAATCGCTATTTTGTTAGTTCTACTAGATTTATTGCTACTTCTATCTTTAGTTCCATATGCTGCAAGCGCTGCAAAGTTTGTTAGTTTTAATTTATGTCTTTTTAGTCCTAATGGTTATATTGTTAGTTCTAATAGCTATTATGTCAGTTCTAATCAATGCACTGTTAGCTTTAATGGTTTTCTTATTAGTTCTTGCTAGTTCTAATTGATTCTAACTGCAAGAAGTTGTCCTTTTTGTTGCTCGCGGTCGACCGCCGATTGCCCAACGGTTATATTGGGTACAGAATCATATTTCTGATTCTTGGGGGTTTTTGGTCTTTTGTTTGGGGTTTTTGCTGTTGGTTTTTCTTCCTATATAAACCCCTCAAACCCCTTCTACCAGCAACAATCAAAGAAATATTTTAACAAAGTTTTAACAAGGGTTTAAGTGTTGTTTAAGTTTGTTTAAGAAGCTTTTAAGCATTTAAGAGTTTGAGTTTGTGAAATCAATTTCACAAGAGCTTGAGGAGATCGTCTATTGGTGTTTTAGCATCCAACTACTCTCCCTCGATCTCTTGATCTATTGAGAAGTTTTCTAAACTCCTTTTTTAGATTTATATCTATTTGTTTTATTATCATTTTATTAAAGCTAGTTTTATATTGAGTTTAGATTTGTTTAATCTATTTGCTTCCACACACAACCATTGAGCTTATTGTATTTGCATACATTGTATAATTAGGTTGTGGGGAGTTATAACAATTAAGAGCGAGCTTTATTGTGTTCTCATCCATATTATTGTGAGATTATAAAGTTTCCGGTGAGCTAGAAAATCGAGTATGAGGTGTAGACGTTGATCGGTAAGCGTTGAAAACCGACATTGTGAGAGTGTGAATTGTGAAGTTTTCAGTGAACTAGAAAACCGAGTGTGAGGTGTGGACGTTGATCGGTGAGTGTTAAAAACCAACATTGTGAGATGTAAACGTTATTCGGGTGAGCGTAGAAAACCCGGTTGTGATAGTGGATTTCTCCCTGGGAGTGGGGAGCGGAGACGTAGGACGGAAGGTCCGAACTCCGTGATCATATCGTGTGTTTGAGTTTGCTTTGACGCACTTCTCTTATGTTTATATTTCTTGTCACCATTATCCATTGCTCATTATTTATATCATCCACTATCTTGTTTATTTTGTTTACCCTTGTGTTAGTTTATATATCCTTACATATAATTCACCATATATCTCATTGCTAGGATATTGCTCTTTGGTTATATTGCTCATTCTTGCTTATAACATATTGTATATCTATCTTGCAAGAATAACTTGTTAATTAGTTTTAATTGGCATAAAATCAGATTAGATTAGCATAAGACCCTAATCACCCCCCTCTAGGGTCTAACACATATCATCCATCACTGTACACTGTTTCTTCTTTATGTCTTTGTTCATAACCAGCAAGTAATAATTATGCGACAAATCTTGCTCGCATAGCTTCAGGGATATCGTTTGGAGGATTAATCCACGATGTTGAGCAGCCTTCAATTATTACTTTTATATAGAGGTAGACGAACAAACCACAGTCAAAGCTGTAACATAGAAGACTAAATTAGACATTTTCATAATATCTAATATTAACACAAATTAACACAATATAGACATCGGAACTAACCGCCCTCTTTGTTGCTCGCATTTGATGGCTTGATATCTAAATACTCCGTGCACATTTTGCTCAATAAAATTAACATGATGGGCATCAAAGTAGTTTATGATTTTATTAACAGGCTCTATCCATGCTTCGTGCCCAGCAGAACTGTAATGCTTGACGACCTTATCTTTAAAATTAACTTCAACAAGATGCCAATGATCATTCCTGACCAAAGGGATCAATAGATGCTCCATGCGGAATGCGGTATATTTGTCAATGAATGTCAAATATAGCTCGTAATTATTCGGCTCGAAGCCATAGAGTGAGTGTTGCAAATACATCATGTTTGAGTTGAAATTAGAACTAACATGAGCTTGGACTGCTACACAATAGAACTAACATCGTATCAATTAGAATTAATATGCCATCAGTTAGTACTAACATGCAATACATTAGACCTAACACGCCATAAACTAGAGCTGACATGCTACAAAACAGAACTAACATGATGCAGATTAGAACTAACACGGTATAAACTAAAACTGACATGAACTGCGATAGAACTAACATGGTATACATTAGAACTAACACCATATCAATTAGAACTAATAGCGCTCTCATTAGAACTAACACGCTACAGAATAGAACTAACATAACTTATCGTAGGTCTAACTTGATGCTAATTAGAACTAACGTGACTCATGGTATAACTAGCATGGATCCAACAAGATCTAATATCGTATCAATTAGAACTAACATGCTACAAAACAGAACTAACTTGGTACAGATTAGAACTAACACGACATAAACTAGAACTGACAT